CCTCCTGCAGGTGGAGGGCCCACAGGAAGACAAACCCATGCAACTCATTTAGGTTGAGCCTGACTGGGCCCTAAGGGCAGAGTCCCGATCACCAGGTTCTCGCTGCCAAGATCTTCTCCCTGGCCTGGAACCAGGGTGGAGCCCCACCCTGTAAGCACATCTGTGTGAAGGACGTTGAACTCACTGTCTTTTGTCTACACTAGTATCGTGAATGACTCTTGGGCCGGTCTGTCTTGGGGGACCCTACCAGGGGGGATCTCCACCGACAGCAGAACTCCTAGGATCATTCAGGGACACAAACTTCTCCGCCACATTAAGGTGGTGATTCAAGGACGATGTCGTTTGTTCCAGAACTATTACAATCAAACTTTTCTTTCTCTCCAGTGTTTGAGGCAACACCCAGAGTCCCGAAGAAGAAGAACGGGTGTGATGTTTACAGAGTAGTTGAAGATGTCACTGTAGAATAATTCAACTTTTATTGGGTCTTGTTGTTTCCCGGAGCCCTCAGAAGATTCAGTGGGTTTCATAATTAAAGGTTTGGTGCTCCGTCCTGGACTGACACCAGTTTTCTGTATATTTCACAACAACCGGTATAAACATGAAATAAAACACAAATGTAGGGCAAGTTGTTAGAAAGCACCATCTTTTTGTTGCATCCAAGTAAAATGAATACTCTGGTTGTTTCAAACGATAGCAGTTTTTTAGGCTGATTCTGTTTACATGAGGACGAGCGACGCAGTGAAGCCGTTCCTAATCCTCTGTGCTGTGGCTGACGTGATAATAACAGAGTAATTACTGCTCTCGTGGCAGCGCTGGCTGATTGACAGCTTATTTAATCAGACACGGTCAAGAAGATGAGAAGCACGGTTTGGAAACAGGAAGTTAATGAAGCTGGAGGGATGAGCGACAGGAACAACACGGACACGCTCACCCGTCTCCGTATAATTGAAACCTTATTTAGTAGAACAAGGTGATGCTGATTCACCATTTTTAAAACCACTGCAAGAAACAAGTTTCAGTTCAGCACAGGGCAAAGATTAAAAGACTTTATTGTTAAGAACCGGTTCTGAGGAGTTGGCCTGATTGGACCTTTTGGTTCAGGATGGACGTGCTTTTGGAGAACTTTGTTGTGGTTTTAACAACCAGGAATTTCCTTCATACACTTCATCCCAACAAGCTACATGAAGGAATTTAACTTCCATAGAAAACAAATTTCATGCGAGGTGGGAGTGCATCAAGGATCAGCACTGAGCCCCTTCTTGTTTGCTCTGGTGATGGATCGACTAACAGATGAGGTCAGGCAGGAATCCCCGTGGACGATGATGTTTGCAGATGACATTGTGACCTGTGGTGAGAACAGGGAACAGGTGGAAGAGAACTTGGAGAGGTGGAGGTATGCACTTGAAAGAAGAGGAATGAAAGTCAGTCGTAGTAAGACAGAGTCCATGTGTGTGAATGAGAGGGAGGAGGTGGAACAGTGAGGCTACAAGGAGCAGAGGTCACAAAGGTGCAGGACTTCAAGGACTTGGGGTCCACTGTCCAGGAACATGGGGAGTGTGGTAAAGAGGTGAAGAAGAGAGTCCAGGCAGGATGGAGTGATGGAGAAAAGTTTCAGGAGTGATTTGTGACAAAAAGGGTGTCAGCAAAGGTCAAAGGAAAAGTTTACAAGACAGTGGTGAGACCAGCTATATTGTATGGTCTGGAGACAGAGACATGGACAAAAAGACAGGAGACAGAACTGGAAGTAGCAGAAATGAAGATGTTGAGGTTCTCCTTAGGAGAGACAAGGATGGAGAAGATCAGGAATGAGATCATCAGAGGTACAGCACAGGTTGAACAACTGGGAGATAAAGTTAGAGAGGACACACTGAGATGGTTTGGCCATGTCCAGAGGAGGGACAGTGGTTTGGACATGTCCAGAGGAGGGACAGTGGTTTGGACGTGTCCAGAGGAGGGACAG